CTGTTGTGCTGTTGATGTTGGCTAGGAATCTTCATTATCTCTGTTTTATCTATGTTCACGTGAAGTCCTATCTTTGATGCTTCTTCTGCCAACTTGTTACTTTTCACTTGCATATCTTCCAGTTTATGGGAAATCAGACATATATCATCGGCGAAATCCAGATCCTCCAAGTCTTTTGTGTCAGTCCATTTTATGCCTGTTCCCTCGTTGGTTGCCGTTGTCTGTCGCATTATCCAATCAATTGCAATCAGGAAGATCATTGGTGATAGTAGACAGCCTTGCCTCACTCCCGTCCTCACTTCGAAGGCTTCCGTAAGTTTCCCGTTGTGGATTACTTGGCATGCAGCATTGTCGTATAACTGTTGGATGAGGTGTATAATTGTCGATGGGACCCCGTAGTAGCGAAGTAGTTTCCAAATGACCTCTCGATCGACGCTGTCGAAGGCCTTTTCAAAGTCGATGAAGTTGAGATAGAGAGGTGACTGCCATTCCAAGCTTTGTTCAATGATGATCCGTAGAGTGGCGATTTGATCAATACATGATTTGTTTCTCCTGAATCCAGCCTGTTCCGGACGAAGTTTTTCATCTAGGGCTTGTTTGATTCTCTCCAGGATGATGCGACTTAGTATCTTGCTTGGAATGGACAGAAGCATAATTCCACGCCAGTTTTTACATTGACTTAAGTCTCCTTTCTTTGGAAGTTTGAATAAGTAACTGTTCTTCCAATCCTCGGGTACTTTGCCCTCTTTCCACACCTTCTCCAGCAGTGGTGTCATCAAGTCCGCTGTTGTCTCTGGGTCTATTTTCAAAGCCTCTGCTGGGATTCCATCTGGTCCCGGTGTTTTCCCAGCTTTAAGCATCTTGATTGCATTCAGGACTTCTGATTTCGTCGGGGGGTCAGTGTTCACTGGTAGTTCTGCTTCCGTTGTTGGTATTGCTGGACGTGTTGTTGTTCTAACCAAATATCCGAGTGATTTTCGAACTCGGATCGAATAACAAACTCGGTCTCCTGAATGTTACAAAGACCAGGAGAGATGGTGGAACGATTTAGTGGTCTATTTTTCGTGAACGGACATGGAGTGGACAATATCTTCATTTCACCAGTTTTTTTCCTATCCAGTATAAACGTTCCCTAGTAAATGTTTGTTCTGAAGGGCCAGAAAAATATGCACGAGTGACATATTCATGAATGAGCTTCGACAAATATACACTCAGTGGTGGCACAGTGGTTAGGACTCTCGCCGACCATGCACATGGTCCGGGGTTCGAGCCCGCACCGACGCACATCTGATATCTATGGTCGGCCTGCGAAATTTGGGCTACCGATATCCATGCTGAAAATTCCATACTTGTACCGAAAATACAGTGTGGAATCAAGCTGTAAATCAAAAAAAAAAATAATGGTTATCCAGAAAAATTTATCAGTTTTCACAGTAAGGATAGACCAAATCTCGAAAGACAGCTTCTGTACCAAAAAAGCTATCTTTATTAACCTGCCATTCAAGGGTGACCAGATTATGCAGTTGACAACTCGAAGGCGTCAGTCAGCCATCAAACACACATCCTATGCTATATCTCTCCTCCTCACATTCCGGACATTTTTGATCCCTGTACCTACGACTAAAGGAGGAAATTCTGTGGACTCTACTTCACATTGTATCTACAAGTTCACCCGCAGTTGTAGTGACACTTTTATAGGTAGAATCAATAGAATGTCCCAAAGTCGTCGAAAAAGACATGTTCTAAAATGGGTAGTAAAACATAGAGAAAATCCCAATACAATCAATCTGAATAGAAATCCAGCATCATCCATTGGAAAACACTTATTAATGTCAGGTCACAAAATCAGTATTAATGACTGTATCAAAATTATTTCACATAACTCTAATTCAAGGTTATTGAGGGTGATAGAAGCACTTTGAATTAATCACATACAGCCTAAACTGTGTATACAAATGCAGCCTTCGCCTACCATGGACTACTTGACTTATTTAAATATGATTATTATGTGTGTACTTTTGTTTTATGTAACTGAGTAATTGTCATGCATTTTATTTTATTATTATTGTGAACCATGTTAGCTGTAAAGCGGTTGTAAAGAAACTAAGAAATGACGATGTCACTTCGTGAAACTTCTCTTCTAACTGCCTTATTCACGAAGATGGATGTCCCACCGACGACATTGATTAGGGTCGCGCTAAATCCCGAAGTAGTAGAAGTTAGAATTCATGCACTCTATACAGAATCGGGTACCAGTGGCTGAATGGTCTACGAGCTCGCCAGACTTGTAACCAGAAGGTTCTGGCTTCGAACCCTGACAGAGGATGAGTACTGCCGATGACTCCCAAAAGGCTAGGATGAGACAACTGTCCAGTACTTCTTGGCTGGTTTTCACTGGTTCTGTACTTGATATCAATCCGTGATCAAGTCATAAAAACAAAACTAATCCTTACAAACCAAACTATAGAAAATTATTCAAATGTGATTAATGTGTCAGAAGAAACGTCCTACGACATTGGATAAGCAGTAAGGATATGCGTACTTCAAAGAGAAAACTGACTGAAAAATAATTAATGTAAGTGTAGAACTTTGACACTGTAGTAGAATGTAATTCCATGTTAGATAAGTTTATTGTAATAATCACACAGTGATGCAGTATAAACATCTGGATGACGTGTTGAACATTTGATTTTAATCCTCACTATTACACATGAATGTGATAGCACTTGCCTTTAACTGTCCAGTAATTAAAATATCCCCATATTATAATCAGAAAAGGAAAATTTTCTGAGTGAAGAATTACTTTCAGTAACTTGTTCTTCTTCTTCACACACTGCAGTTGTAAATCCATCAGTATTAGAATACAGACTGTCTGTTCAAATTTTATCTTATGTTCTGAATGACCCCACACTTTATATACATTCAACGCGGCAGTGTTAATTAATTTGATGCTGTTCAACCTTATACTAGTACCCCAACACAATTTCCGATATGATTTTCACTAGCATTAACTAGCTGGATATTCATGGATGTCTGACCGTAATCTGAAGAAGTTACTGAAGACACACTCCAAGGCGACCGTCGGATGACATCACATGCCAGGCTATCGCTCAAGTAGAAACTGAATGAGAAACGACGTGCTGAGAGTCCGAGTGTGAAATGGATAAGAACGCCTAGGGACGATACGAAAGCTTTTGGATAGTCGTGAGGTCAGATACCCAGAAGAATGCAGAGAATACGACAAAGTGGAGACGTGTTGTTGAAGCTCAGAACACAAGGGAATAATATTATTAATAATATATGCTTTAGTCGATTTTTGTGTGAAATGAACACGTTCATCTCTGTAATAGCAGTACAGTTCCAATTTCTAAACGCTGAATTTGAGTTAGTTATCTTCAACATTTTAGAAATGAAGGTAACTGCAGCTAATCATCCAGTTGGGTGATGCACGGACTGACATAACTTAGAATATCACTGAAATTTAAAGATTAGTGGATGACTTTCCTAGATTTATCAATAACCATCCACAACCGCACCAGTGATGAACCTAGGACATCGAAATTACGAGGCCAAGGTCGTTGGCCATTCAGCCAGTTCAGCCGGAAACCAATGACTAGTCCATGAATTCTAACTTTTGTCAATTCAAGATTTTTGTGTGACAGTGTCATTGGCAAGTATTTGTTCTCGCACCCAACTTGGTGGACTCCATCTGGTATGACTTCTCACTAGAATTGTAGGAAACTATGTCCCGCAGCCAATCACTAGCTCACACTTCATTCTAACACTGAAATTTTAGTCTGTAAACGTTGGCAATATATATATATGTTTATCGTCTATATTTCGTATTCATTCCTTGTGTGCCGAGTGAAGCAAAGCACTATGAAGCTTATAAAGTTTCTGTACTAGTGGTGCTTTTATTACAGGCCGGAATCGCTACCATCATAATCAACCGTATCCATTTTTCTCACCTACTATGATCTAGCACACTGTAGGAGGTTTTAAAATATTTCAACCAGCAATCGAACCCTGATCACCAGCGCTGTTGGAAATCATTCTACAGTTGTGCCACCAACGCACCTTGTTTACATACATGTATATCTGACTCTCAAACTGTGACATCCGTGAAAAGTTGGTTTACTTTTAAACAAAATAATATTTTATCGTGTGACTTCACATTCTTAGTAAACTCAATAAGTTTATAAGTATTGCCCGAAATTCATTTGTTTATCCCTGCAATCAGTAGTTTCAACGTTCTGAATAACTGTTTGTTGTAACTTTTCGAGTTATACTCGCCTAAATCAGTGAGATTCAAGGGTGTATAAATCTCCAAGTTTGACCAGGGATTAATCTCATTTAGAGAACCATTCAACAAAATCAAGGAACACTGGATAACTGTTTCATCCTAGTCCGAAACTCATCATCAGCGCACGCTCACCGGGATTTGAAGCTAAGACTTTCTGGTTACAAGAGAAGCTTGTAAACCATTCAGCCACTGAGACCCAACTTAATGGTCAGCTAATGGATTCTAACTTCTGGAGATTCGCGGTTTGGGCGCGACCACTAGTGAATGTTATCGGTGAGTATTCGTCCTCACTTCCGACCGGATTGACTCCATTAGTCACTATTTCTTACTTTATCTTCAGGCAACTTCCTCGTGTATGCAGTGACTAAAGAGTGTCAGATAAATTTTCAAAACTAGGTCGGAACAACTGTACAGAACTTCCCTTGTTGGTTTTCAGTAGTCCTCCTATCGATAGAAATCAGCAATCTAACATGGAACAAGTCAAACCTCTGCAAACTAACTCTTAAAAATTTAATTCTTTGCATACAATGTTGGATATGTAATCTTCTTTTCGATAAGAATTTCAACAACACATCAATACTAGTAATTTTGAATTTAGCTTTTGAGTTACTGAGACGCTTTCATACTTCTGCGTAATCCAATAATCTAAGTGTTTTAGGATATCAAGAAAGTTTGACTCACCAATCATAATTTGTGGGTGTTTTTCATTGGTCATTCAACAGAACTATGGAATAAATTCAGATGAGTATTAATAAACACTAGTGTTAGGAGATAAACCACAGAAATACCATTGATAATAGTGTGAAACTGAAATGTAAGTATTTTTCTTTATTGTTTCTGCAATGGTGGTTAGTTTAATTTGCTTGAATAGATAAACGTCTTCTGATTGTATTCATTTTTATGCAAATGCATTTATTTTAATATTTTTGGCTAACTATAGAATGTATATATTGATGATGATGATGATAATGATAATATGACATGACAGTTAAATGTGCTTGTATTCAAGTAAGTGATAATCTTCACAGTGTGATTTAAATCCCTCACGAATTCACAGCAGTTAGGACGCTAGTCGACCATGCACGTGGTCTGAATTTCGATCCCCGGCAGATGCACTCCTTTACCTCGTTTAGCCAGTAATAAAGCTGGTGTAAAGAGAGAAGGTTGGACATGAGGGTAGCCACCACATCCTGTAAAAATAAACACCACTGCCAGCGAAACTTCAAGCCTCCAGCTTGAAGCCCTCCCTATGTTCCACTGGGAATGTGAAAGAATAAAAAAAACCGAGTTCACGTTAATCATTACGTAAATTAGCGAGTTATTTGCACACACACACACATACACACACAAAATACAAATATATAACTCTGGTTCATTTTCTGATAGAGTATGAACAATAGTTTGTGAAGAATAAGATGGAACCATCATTCTTTACTGCATTGGCTTCTCATCAGCCCCCTTCAGCCTCAAGAAATTATTAGACTTCATGTATAGAACAATTCTAACATATCTGCAAATGTTACACAATGTCAGATAGTGTCACGAGACTTTAAACTTAGTAAACAGTCGTAACGAAATCACACTTATATAGTTTATACTCAGTGGATTCAAGTTTGAGCAAAAATAAATGCATACGGTGGTAAAGGAGTTAAGTGGCATTGACAAGAAGTTGGTAGGGTCAATGAACAAATGATAAATTGGGTAGAAGTATATTGAGTTCAGATCAAATCAAAAAGATGAGAGGCACACAAAGTTTTACTATACCAAAGGAGGAGTAGGAGGAGGAGTGGGAGAGAGACTGGAGCTGAAGATTACGTAATCAAATGGATGATAAAGAGGGTAAAGACATCCATTTTTCAAGATGGGCAAAGAAATAACGGTAAAAACTTCTTTCTGAACACAAGAATTGATTTCAGGCGTTTTATAGAGATGGTTTCGTCAGACTTCAGGAGAATTGAACTCCTTTCTCTGTTGATAATTTTGGAGGATTTCGTGATATCCACTTGATGACTCGTATTGATGACATGTCTTGCAAAGGCATTATTGTAAGTAGTTGTTGAAAGTTGAACTCTCTGAATTAAGCCATGTAAGTATAATTTTGTGAGCACTGTTTATGAAGTTTAGAGTCTCCCATCAATAACTGAGATCATTTAATATTTACAAATGTGTTAATATTTTTCTGTGCATAAACTTAATAATATCTTAAAGCTGTGTGGGGAGCTGATAAGAAGATAAAGAAATTAACAGTGATGGTACCATGTTATTCTTCACAAACTGTTATCCTTGTTTTATTCAAATTCATAAACAGGAATATATGTAGGGTGTTTTATTTTCCTTGTTTAATTTACCTTTATCTTCATGAAACCGTAGAAATTATGCCGTCAAAAATATAACATAACAACTATGTCTCTTCAGTCATAACCTTAGATCCAAGGGATAAAACTTCTGCTTTCTGATAAGTGGTTAGATTAATATCAGAAAGATTCGTCAAATATTTATCAGGATTCACTGGGAAAAGATTTGCGCCGTTTTTGTCGTCAGTCAAGCTTTTTAACTTATTTTGTATGTTTATTTTTGTTTATTTTCTGAGTAACATGGCTAGAAAACTTAAAAAATTTCATGTGGTATATCGTTCGTCATCACACTTAACTCTACTTGGTAAACTTTGTTTTAATAACAGCCAGAGTAGATGTAATTTTGCCTTTATTCTTTGGTTTTGGTGATCTGGATTGTTATTTCCACCTTCAATATATCCTTTTAACTTGACCTAAGACTACTCTGTCACCCAAATTACGTCTTATAATATATTTGTATAAATTCGTGAAGAGAACAGTTCCTCCACATACACTATCCAAAACATAAATGAACTTGTTGAACTAAGGTGTAAAATTATCGTTGAACGCGAAACGTTAGAATTTTGTCAATTTTGTATAAGAAACAAAATATTTCCATATTAAGTCATAAGAAAAAGACGGAAATATTGAAGAAAATTGCCTTTTGCGACGATTCATTTTCATGAACTGTACAATCGTAACTGGTTTTAACAAAGAAATTATAAGACCAATCAGATACTGGTGAAATTTTTCCTAGGAAAATACATCACGTAATGTAAAATGTCACTTAGGAGGGATGACTTGTTGTAAGTTATAAAAGAGACAGAATTTGGTATGACTTCATAAGTGTGAAATAATGACTAATCAATAAGCTCAGGTAGACTGGACAGCAGCTAATGGAAAGGCGATAAAGTGTTTTTAGGAAATTTGTATGAAAAGGCAATATTATTAATGAACAGCAATAAAGTGGTAATAAAATGTGGATGATGAGAATGATAATGATAATAAAATAATAGTAGTAATAACAATTATAATAGTGAATTTACATAAAAAAAATGAAGAAATAAAGTTATAGTAAGAACTTTAGCCATGGTAGGGCAAGTCAATTTATGTAGTGCTTTTGAATGCAGAGGTCCGGTTTCAAATACTGAATAGCTAATGCTTCAGCTATGTACTGATGGCGCATTCGAAGTCCCTTTGTACGATATTGAGGGACTCTGTGTATCACTGTGAAGCATTCATGTGGGGGTGCTCGATGTCCGGAGATGACAAGGTTTTCGAGGATACAGCTACTGTTAATCTTCTTTTCTCCTATGGCTAACGAAGGTAAAGAGTGTTCCAGAATACGTTTGTGGACTTGACGTTGCTTGCAGCCGATTATATATAACAAATCATACCTTTCTAAGGCAGTTTTACAAAATTTTGAAACCCAGTAAATTACAACTAAATATCTCTAATCTTGTTTTTCCTGCAAAATCACATGTCGGAAATGTTAAACAAAAGCTACATGGGCTGCTTACCCTTCAAATCATTTCGTCACTTATTTTATCTGAATTGTATTGTTGTATTATTGTATTAAATTCTCTAAAAAGCCACTCAAAATCTAGACTAACAAATTCTTATGAACTAAAACATAGATTAGATAATTTAAAATTAGACAATGAAGAAAAAATGGTTAGTTTTGACATTATCAGTTTATATACACGTATACTAATGAATATGGCTATAAAGGCGGTCAGAAACGAACTCATTTCTGAACAAGAACTCGAACTTAGGACAAAAGTGCCACTCGAGGGCATAATGCTGGGAGTGCAGCTATGCCTGTCTTCCACAGTATTTAAATTCCAAGGGAAAATATACAAACAAACTGAGGGAGTCGCCATGAGATCACCAATATCCCCGGTTGTAGCAGATATATTTGCGGATAGGTGGGAAAGCATAGTGATTGAAACGTTCGCCCACACCCCAAAAGTATGGTGGAGGTATGTAGATGACACATTCACTGTACTCAGAACACAAGATATAGATAGATTTTTCGAACACATCAACTCGAAGGTTGAGGCAATTCAATTCACTTATGAATTATAAAGTCATGAAGGGGAGCTTCCAATGTTAGATTGCAACGTAAAAAGGAAAGAAAGAAGATGGAAAGTTAAACGCTAGTGTTTACAGAGAACCCACACATTCAAACAGATACTTGGACTTCAGATCATCCCATTCTATGTCAGTAAAAATAGGATTGATAAAATGTTTAACTGTCAGAGCACAAAAACTAAATAACACTAAGGAAAATCTAAGACAAGAAATGATACACATGAAAGAACCCTTAAAATTTAATAATTATCCGGATAAATTAGTCAGGAAATATGTAAGGATATCTAAAAATAAAATAAATAATGATAGTAGCGATAGTCATTATAATAATAACACTGATACTGATAATAATAGTAATAGTGATAATAATAATATTAATGACGACACCAACAACAAGGAATCTAAATCATCGACAGTAATTCCATACAAGGAAGGAACCTCGGAAGCCTTACGCAGAATTCTTAACAAGGCAGGAATAAAAGTGGCTAGCATTCAAACCACCCACAAACTCAATTAGAAACAAACTTTGTCAGTTAAAGGATCCTGTAGAGCCATTAAAACAAAACAATTTAGTTTCTCTAATACCCTGCCTGAATGATTGTCAGATCAAATACATAGGTCAAAATAGTAGAACAGGGGCAGTTAGACTAGCTGAACATAAAAACCTAGCTAAATCTAGATTGGTTGACCCAAATAAGATAAGAAATCTAGAGAATAGTTCAGCTATACCACTCACTACATGCAGTTACACACAACCATACAATAGGATGGGATAGGCTGACAGTTTTAAAATCCAATGTCACAGGGTGCAGGGAGGAAGAGATTGATAACAGAAGCTTTGTTCATCGAATCAACTGCAAATACATGTAATAGGAATGATCCAACACCTGTCCAACCGGACATCTGGAACATTCTACTGACCCTACGACAAATAGGAGGAGTAATAAAACTCGTAAAGAAGGAAGATTGGACTTGAGGTTAGCTATCAACCCCATCGCGTAAAGATAAACATCACTGCTACCAAAACACCAAACCTCTGGGTTGAAGCGCTATGTTCCACTGGGGACGTAGAGGAATTTTAAAAAAATAATTAAACAAAGAATTATTGATATTAACAACAACAATAATTTTATCGTCGAGTGATGTGGCACGCAAGGTTAACAGTCGACCGCGACCCGAGTGGAAGACGACTAGTTGAGTGTCTGGCTGACGGTGAAATGTAGGAGATCGTGTCAGGATGAGATGATAAACTGTGGGCTTTCATGCTCCCAGTCAGCTTCAGAGGACTACAGAGGACGGAATAAATTGTAGATATGTTGTTGAAGTCCTAGATTCCACTCGGAACACACGGGAACAACAACAATAATACAGTAATAATATAGAAGTA